GGCCTGAGAGGACGCTGGGCGCCCCGGACAGCAGTCCCGCACGCCAGCCCTCCTGCCAGCTCTGGGCCGCCCCTGGGCTCAGCAGGGCTGCGCAGGCGGCAGGGAGCCCAAGGTGACTGGTGGTCCGCCGCTTGCTCCCCAGGCCCTGGGCGCACGTCCTGGCGTCCAGGCCGCAGCCCGTGGCCATAGGGAATGGACTTCAGAGCCCACAGACAGGAGGGAGTGGCGCTCAGGGTCCGTGAGGGGAGCAGCTCCACAGGGAGACCCCAAAGCAGTGCACACCAGGGTGGGCGCAGCTCGGCCTGTCTACACTTCCCGGGAGACGCCTGTGGCCGGCTGGCCCACAGGGGCAGCTGTCTGGGCAGTGGTGTCGCAGCCCTCGGGCCAGCGGCGGGAACAGTACGGTGGAAGCCACATGCAAACGAGCCTTTCAGGCCGAAGACAGTCACCACCCAGCGCAGGCTTGGGCCTCCTGGAAGGCATGAAGGGTTTAGAGAGAGAGCAGTGTCCGTGCTGATACACAGAAATGATCACATGAGCAAACACGCCGCTGGACACCGCATGGGGTAGGCCTAAAAGGCTCTGATCCGCAGAAGCGCGGGCTCGGGCTGAGCCTGCGTGAACTCACAAAGCTGGAGGAGCAAAGACGGGTCAGCGCAGCAACCCACACTCCAGGTATCTGGGGACAAGAAGTTGCCGGGACACAGACCATCCTCCCGCGCACCCCACAGCCTCGACGGGACGCTGCAAACCCTTCGGAACACACGTTCTTCCCAGCCAGTGCAGTGGCCGCATGGAAACCCACACGCCACCTCACACCCGGGAAGACGGTTGACGCCAACACCGCAGAAACTGGAACGCGGCAGGGCGGGCAGGAACGTAAACAGGATGGCCGCTGAGGGATAGGACGGAGGGGCCTCGAGGCATCAAACACGGAATGACCTTGGACGCAGTGCTAGCCCTGGGCCCAGAGGGCCGGGCGCCGGGTCTCCAGGCGCGGCAGGCCCCCACGGCCAGGACAGCGCTGCTCCCAGCCAAGGGCAGTGGCGCCCCGGGCCCATGGGAGGGACACACACCGGACTAACTGCACGGGGAACGCTGGTCAGCCTGGGGGGACATGTGGGCCCTGCTGCCCACGGGTGGCCTTGAGGGCGACACTGACAGAGAGGAGGCAGGCCGGAGGGTGAGCGCGCGGGCCAGGCCCCGCGTCAGGACATGGTTGGGACAAAAAGCAGAGGGCGGGCTGGGCGCGGGTTGGGAGAGCAGGTGTGTCAAGGGGCAGGGCTTCATCTTTGCAGATGCAGAGCTCCGGGGTGGCCACTCGACCGCTGAATAGCCCTTAGCTGGACACTTAAGATGATTAAGATGGTCAACCTATGTTATACGTATTGTAGTACAATGAAAACTCGGAGTGGGGGTCTCTGAAGAGTCCCTGAAGATGGGCCCTGAGCCAGGTGAGCGTTGTCCTTGGAAGGTCAGGACACAGACACACAGGGGGACGCCCCCGAGGACAGGGGACACGGGACGGCGCGGCCACATGCCCAGGGGAGACCCGGAGGCGCGGCATGGCCCTGCCGGGTCCTGGACTTCCGCCTCCGACACGGCCCCGGCCAGCAGCTTGGACATAAAATTCAGCTCCCGCTGGGAATCTTTATATTTACAAACTAGGACGATCGCTGGCTCTGCTGCTGGGATCGCTCTGGCCACCGGCCACGCAGGCCCGGGCCGCCGCGCTGGCCTCACCGAGGCTGGGTCCCAGCAGGGAGGTGGGCCAGACTGCTCGCGGACCAGAGTGCGCGGCAGGAGTGCACATGGGGGGCAGGGGTGCAGACGCGCGGCGGGGCTCCAGCCTTGGTGTGGGCCGGGCGGCACCCGCAGGAGCGCAGCGCACGGGGCTCACCCCAGCGGGGGTTCGTCTCTACATCCAAGTGGAAAAACACTTACAGCCTCATTATTTAAACCAAGGCCATGAATCTCAAAATTAATAAAGGATCCAAAAAAGGAAAGCCGCGCCAGACGCGCCCCTAAATCACTCCGAGGTGGAAAGTGACGGCGCGTTTACAGCCCTGGGCCGGGAGGAGCCGGCAGAGAATTCACAGCCTTAAATGCTTTTATTACTGAGCAAGAGAGACTGAAAATAAATGAACTAAACATTGGACACAAGGAGGGAAAACAGAACAATAAAGTAAATCCATGGGAGGCAGGAGGGGGGAGATAAAGGCGGATTAATGAATTGGAAACAAGAAAAACGGGCGCCCTCATCAGTAAATCCAGGCGCCGCGTCCTCAAAATAAATAAATAAAATGAACAGCGCTCCGGCCGGCCCCTCCTCCGGGGACCCGCCAGCAGACAGCCCGGGGAGTGACGGTGACAGGCCGACCGCCTCCGGCCCCTGCGCTACCAAAGTCAACTTGGAGAGGCCGCAGAGCGCCTCCGGCCGCAGGGCAACACCGCAGGGCTCGGCCGGCGCGGGCCCCGCCGCAGGGATGGGCCCGGAGGGCGCTGCGTCCAGGGGCTCCTTGGCCAGGCCGGCCGCCGGCTGCCGGGGCTGCGGGGCCGGGCGCGGGGCCGGAGGCGGGGCCTGCGCGCCCGAGACCCCGCCACGGTCAGCAGAGCCGGCCGGAGCCGACAGGGCGGCGCGCGGGGGTCGGGGCAGCGGCGGGGCCCCGCGGAGCGCCCCAGCCAGGCCCAGCGGCCGGGACAGCCACCGGCGCCCCGCAGGCCGGGCTCGTCCCGCCCCCGCCGGCAGAACCGCCCGGGCCGCCGCCGGGGGCGCAGCCGGGACCCCAGCTCCGGGCGCGGTCGGGGGCCGCCCCCCCGGACGTCCCCGCCGCGCCCGCCGGCCCCGCAGCGGCGCCCGGCCTCGGCCTCCGCCCCCGCGCGCCCCGCGCGCCCCGCGGCCCAGGGGCGGCGGCCGCAGCGACCCGCCCTGCGCCCGCACAGGGGCCCGCGCGGGCCTCGGCGCGAAGGAAGCGGCGCCGCGAGGTCGGCTGCGGCCGCGCCCCTGGCCGGCGCCCGAGCGCGGGAGGAGGGCCCGAGGCCGCCGCCCGCCGCCCGCCGCCCGCCGCGGAGCTCCGGCCCGACCCGCCCCAGGCCGCGCCCCCGCGCGGGAGCGGCCCGGCCTCGGGGGTCCCGACCGGCCGCCGCGGGCCGCAGCGAAGGCCGGCCTCACCCAGCGCGGCCGGAGGGACGGCGCGGGCGGCCGAGCGCGGGCGCCCCGGCCCGGCCCGGCCCGGCCCGCCCCCGCCCCGCCCCGCCCCGCCCCGCCCGGGCGCGCCCCGCGAGGGCCCGGCTGCCGCGCCGAGGAGCGGGCGCCCCCTCCTGCCGCCCGGGCGGGGCGCGCGGGGGGCGGTCCCGGGCCGGCCCCGACAGGCCCCGCCCCCGACAGGCCCCGCCCCCAGGCCAGCCCCGCCTGCCCGCAGGCCCCGCCCCGACAGGCCCCGCCCCGACAGGCCCCGCCCCGGCACCCCATGGCCTTCCCACAGGCCCCGCCCCACAAGCCCCGCCTGTCCCGCAAGCCCAGCCCCCGACAGGCCCCGCCCCCAGACAAGCACCGCCTGTCCTGCAGGCCCCGCCCCTACAGACCCCGCCCTCTGTCCCGCGAGCCCCGCCCCCGGCACCCCACGGCCTTCCCGCAGGCCCCGCCCCCACAAGCCCCGCCCCGGGCACCGCCTGTCCTGCAGGCCCCGCCCCCACACGGGCCCCGCCCCGGGCTCCCAGGTTTGCCCGCGGGGAGCAGAGACCCTGGGGAGACGCCACCCCGCCCTCCACCGCAGGGACCGGGGCCGGGGACAAGGCAAGGCCGGCCCGAGGCCGAGTGGAGCGCAGGGCCAGGACCGTCTGAAGGCTCGTGTCCGGCTGCCGCCGGGCCTGCAGGGGCCGGGCGGGCGAGGTGGGCCGTGGCGCCCGCCGCCCCGCTCGCCCGGAGAGGCCCACGGGCCCCAGCCAGCCGGCCGGCCCTGCCGCTGCCCAGGATGCCAGGGCCTCGAGTCCCTGCTCAGACGGCTGGAGGCACACGTGGGGCGCAGGTCCCAGAGGCCCCGGCCTAGGGGCCCCCGCGCCGCCCAGCGCACAGCCGCGGCAGAGCCACTGCAGCAGAGCCTCCTGCACCCGGGCAAGGCCAGGGAGGGCCGGGCGGCCTGTGAAGCTGCTCCACTCCTCACCCCCGGCCAACAGGGCCTGGAAGCCCAGAGCCTTTCTCCATTTCCTACTGCGTCCCCTTCCGCCCAGCCCCGCGGTGGCCTTGCCAGAAGCCCTTCAGCAGCTCTACAAGCCTGAAAGTCCTACAGGGCTTCACTTCCTCGGGCGGGCGCCGCGTCCGCCTCTGCGCAGGGCCAGGCCCCCGAGCTCTCTCCCGGCCAAGGCTGTGAGCAGCCAGGGCCTGGTCAGCGGCTGCTGCTGGAGCCCTTGCAACCTCAGATGCAGGGAAGGACAAGGAAGGGCCAGACCACCCAGGGCCACCCCTACCTCCAGCACCTATTTCCCCGTCTTCACACTGGAGCCCCTGGCCCATACCTCCCTGGCTCCCAGATGCCAGCAGCACCTCCCAGGCTGCTCTCGAGCTCTGCCCCATCCAGGGTCTTACTGCCGGGAACCACTCCAAGCCCCGCCTTGGCACCGCCGCCCTCCCCTCAGGCTCTGGCAGCTCCCCTCTGCTCAAATGCCCCACTCACCCCTGCTGACAGCCCATGCCCCAGGATAACTGGCATGACACCACCACAGCAGAGCCCAGCATGTGAACAGGCAAGGGCTTCCACCAAAGCCCCTTCCTTGCTAGACACCAAGTTCACATCCACAGGCCCCAGGTGTGCCACCGACAGGCGTGAACTCAGGCCCCGGGCCCACCCGTCCAGGAAAACCACCCAACTGGCAACAAAGTCCCTGCTGCTCGCCTAAGCACACTTCCCACAGCCTGGGGCCTCCGGCCTGACCAGCGTGGTATGGGGGCCCCCGCAGCAGGCTCACCCGAGACCCCAAGCACGCAGAGTCATTGCCGCGGCTACTCTAGCTGGCAAGGTGACAAATGGGTGGAGGAAGGTTCTTTTATTTTTGCAACATCATTCCATACAAAAGCAATAGAAAGTTAACAGTCTTAAGTTTACAACTGAACATTTCAACAGGAAACCTGTACATACATCATTTACAGCAACTTTACACGGGAGCCAGCTGTGACGTTCTCACTCCCCTGGCTGCCTGGCAGAGACGGCCCGTCCCGATTCCAGACGGTGTAACTGGCATAAAACCCGCGAACTTAACAGCTCCATGCAGTCTCTTACCGACTCGGTGCTCTGCCGGAGGCACACGCTCACCTTGACATGGTGACAAGGGGCCAAAACCCAAACCTCCATAAAGACATCACAGGTATTAGACTCTGATCCACTCCAGACACCAGGAGCGAGCAGAGCTGGACTGGTCCCGTGAGCGCACGGCCCTCGGACGAGCGGCCACTGCCCAACCCGAAAGGCCTGTGCTCGCCAGTGAGCGCACGCGGCTGCCGCAAAGGACAGCAGGGGCTGAGTAAGAAGTTGGCTGCGAGATTGCTTCAAGTTCAATTTTCCTCGGATGAAGGTCCATTTTACAATTTAAAACATGCACATACACTCACTATACATAAAATTAATGTTTAAGAAAATAAGGCAAGAGTAACGATCACCAGAGAGCATGAACTATGAACAGGAGCCGTCCAGTTCCCAGGCAGGATGCTGGCCGGGCCGCTCTCGCCAGCAGGTGGAGGCCACGCCTGCCCTCAGCCGCCTCCAGCAGCTGTACCCGTTAGCTCGTGGCTGAGAAGTCTCTCAAGGGCTCTGTTAAACAGGCTTCCAGGTCAAACTCGTCCCCCACGGGGCAGTCCACGTGTCTGACTTTGGTGGGCGTGCCAGAGTACATATCCTGGAAGACAGAAGGCGGGTCAGGGCAAGTTCTCAGCCACATGGGGCTGGCTGCAGGCGGCACTGTCCCTGTGGCCCTGGCCCAGGACACGGCTCGGGCGCTGGAGCGCTCGCCAGCACATGCACAGGGCTGATCAGTGACAGCTCAGACAGCAACAACCTCCGCATCAGGCCCATCACAGCCGGTCCCCTACCCAACGCCCGCACCCCACTGAGACAAGACGACCATGACCCCTTTGAGGCCTGCACGCAGCCATGAGACAGGCACGCGCTCTGCCCACAACCTTTGGGACCTGCGTGAGCACCACTCGCGACCAGAGGGACCTGCTTGCTGTACCTCCAAGGGGGCAGCTGCCCTGCCCACGGGGGTATAGGCAGGGGTGTGTGCCCAGGGGCAGCGTGGACAGAGGGCTCTCGGCACGGGCGGCGGTGCCTGGTGGGACAGCTCTGTGTTGCTTTAATAATGGGTTCCAATTCTCCATCAGAAGGTTTTAACTGAAAGGTCACACACTTGAGTGTGAAGTGTTTACAGGTGAGGGAGTTCAAGTCAGCTGAACCCCAACATATTGAGACCAACTAAAAGCAACTTTTGCATGAACATTATGAAAAGTTTCTGTCTGGGGCCTCCCTGGCGGCGCTGGGGTTAAGTCTCAGCACTATGAAGCCATCGGCAACCACTGCAGCCTGAGTGCAATCCCCAGCCAGGGAGCTGCCCACAGGGCACAGCTGACCTCTTCTGTCTCCCCGCTGCTCCCCTCAGCAGTGGATTTCAGTGGACCCACCCCTTCTGCTCCCTACTCTGGGGCGTCCTCTCACCCCCCACACCTCTGGCCTGTATCCCAGCTCTTGTATACATAAATAAATCTTTAAAATAATAATAATAATAAAAGCACCAGATTCAAACTTTAGCCTCAGCTTCAGTTTGCAAGTGGCTGCACTTCCACACCTACCAGCTGCAGCACCCACCCGAGGCCAGGCCAAGGAAAGGCACTTACAAAGTTATCCTGAGAGCTTGTCTGCGACTCAGAGCTGCTTTCTGCAGATTCCGTCTCCATCTCCCCCAGGTCTACAGGGTGTCTGTGAAAGGAAATCAAGGAGGCCCATCAGTCACCCTCACAAAGCCGGGGGACACGCCCCACAGGCAAGTTCTCCAAACACCATCAACCCCACACTGCAGGTGAGGACGTCCAGGCAAGCCCTCCAGTTCCTGCGCCCCCACGCGCCCCGTCATGCTGCCGGTCAGTCCACAGGTGAGGCTGGCACAGCCACCACGGTTCAGAGCGCACTGGCTGTGGTGGAATTACTGAGCCACATCCACGGGCACCCTTGTGAGCAAAGGCACCCACGAGAAGCCCAGCTTTGGCTGGTGGGGAGAGGACATGGCGGGAAGCCATACTACACACCACCGATATTTCCCGTTCTTTACTCATGGCGAAAATGGGACAACAGTGGTGCACTGGGGCGGGGGAGATTGAGGTCACATCCACAGATGTGTCAGAAAACAGCTCACTCACAATATCCCTAGGACATCTCCCCAGCACAAAGCAGATGTTTGTTGAATGAGCGTCTACGGGAGAGGGCCTAGTCACGAGGCCGCCGAGGCAACAAAGGCTGGGCCAGCACAGCCCTCTCTGACCGTGCAGCAGACTCAGGCCTCATGAAAATTTTCAAGTAGACACAAGTTTGAAAACCAACAGGGAAAAGGTAAAAGTTTTCCTACATTAAAAATGGACCTTTCGGGCCTCCCCGGTGGCGCAGCGGTTGAGCACTGGGTTGCGATGCTGCCCGAAGCCTCTGCAGCACCGGTTCGATCCCCGGCCACCTGCGAGGGTCCCACACAGCATGCAGACCTCTCCTGTCTTGCCTGCTGCTCCCCTCAGCAGTGTATTTTATCAGTCTGCCTGTTCTGCTCCCCACTCTGGCTCTGGTGGATTCTCTCACCCTCCCGCGCTTCTGACTGTTCCCAGTGCTTGGATAAATAAATAAATAAATCTTTAAAAAAAAAAAAAAATGGACCTTTCATTTCCACTCTTCAACATGAATGATTCAAACACTTCCTAGACTGTCTTATAAACAAACACCCACATGGTCTAGCTTTACAAAGCTTGGTTTTTTCCCCAGCTGCAGAAAGCAAGCACAACCCCAGACGGAAAGCCTTTCTTTGGCCTCCAGAGCCACCAGCCCAGCGGCAGCCATGGGCCCGACACCCTCGAGGCGCGCAGGAAACGCTGCCGCCACACGGAGGAGCCAGGGCCGCTCGGCTCGGCGCAGGCAGGACGCACGCAGGACGCACATTTCCGGCAGGTCACATCCTTCTTCGGCGGGAGGGTCCCAGAAATGCAGAGCCACTTTCCAGAGTTTGATCTGCTGGTCCCATGACCGTCGGCTATACTTCTTGAATTTGTTGGGGGTCTTGGGGTGAATGCCAGGCTGTCGAAGGTGCCTGCAGGAGAGAGACGGTGGGCCTTGTACATGCTGCTCCCCTTTGCACATTGGCTTGAAAATTAACCAGGCTCCAAGAGCAGCACTACTGAGTCAGGCTGGCAGGGAGCCTGCAACGGAGCAAGTGCACAAACATGACCTCCTGGCCTCCAAGGGCGGCTGCCTGCAGGCAGCGCGGGGTTCGCCTCCCTCCGGCGAGATCTGCATGACCTGAAACTCTTTTTCCCCGTCGTGTAAAAAGTTCTACATTCGTGAGACTACGCTGAGAAGTATCATCTAAGTATCAACTACAAAATACAGTTTTTTTTAAACTTAAAATCCCAGTTTCTTGGTCACTAGTCCATTCTTTACTTACAAAGTAAGTGCCCAAAAGGCACTAAGAACAGCTCTTAGCAGGTGGGAACTATTCCCAGAGTCCGATCCCCCTCAAGGCTGCACCACCACGTGAGGTCCAGGCACACGCCGACCAGGCACCCACCTCGGGACTTCCTTGATGTAGCGATCGTAGGCAATGGTGTTCTTTCCATAGTTGATCTGTTTCTGTCTCCTCATCAGGACGCTTTCGTCTGTCTCCAAATCAGCAGGCACCACAGACGCAGACTCCTTCGAATCAGAACTGAAGAAAAATGAAGTTATTAACAGAACAGGCCTTGCGATTAAAAACACGACGTAAGGGGCCTCGCCTCCCTGGTGGTGCAAGGAGTTAAGCCGCAACCTAGGAAGCTGTCTGCAGCCTCTGCAGTTTGATCCCTGGCCAGGGAGCTACCCACAGGGCGCAGCAGACCTCGCCTGTCTCACCCGCTGCTCCCCTCAGCAGTGTATTTCAGTCAGTCTGCCTGTCCTGTTCCCCGCTCTGTCTCTGGGGAATCCTCTCACACTCTCTTCCCACCTCTGGCCTGCACCCCAGCTGTGGTATGCATAAATAAATCTTAAGGGGAAAAAAAAAAAAAACACAACAAAAAACCCTGCAGCACCCACCCCCCGCCTTTTTTTCTAATGACTTACGTATTTATGCACACAAGAACCTGGGTACAGGCCAGCAGTGTGAGGGGATGAGAGGACTCCCCAGAGGCAGAGTGGGGAACAGAACAGGCAGATCGACTGAAATGCACTGCTGAGGGGAGCAGCGGGGGAGACAGGAAAGGTCTGCTGCACTATGTGGGAGGCTTCCTGGCCGGGGATCAAACTCACACAGCAGTGGCTGCAGACAGCTTCCTACGTTGCATCTTAACTCCTTGTGCCACCAAGGGAGGTCTGAGCCTGCAGCCCTTTCACCCGTGGTTATCTACTGCATAATATTTCAAAACAGGGAAGGGGATCAACAGTCAAGCGCTAGGGCGACAACCAGCACCTCCGTCACCACGTTCACTAACAAATCACAAGCGTCTGCTAGGAAAGAAACACTGACATGGCGCCTACCTTCCTGAGGAGGGTTTTCTCTCTCTTCCAGAGTCATTTATGAGGAGTTTTCTTTTGTATCTGAGAGCAAAATAAATGTTTTTCAGAAGAAACAAAAATGACCAGATGCTTACAGACCTACAGACCGCTGCCAGGCCTTCCCTCGGTGCGGGGTCAGGGCAGCAGGCTGGCTGTCTTCAACCCCCCTCCATCCCCTCTCCTCCCGTGACGAAGGGCACGTGGCCATCAGCACAGTCTGCCCTCGCGCACCACTCAGCCGCACGGAAAGCAGGGGCTTCCCCCGGTCGAATAAAAACCCCAGTTTCCGTGTAAATAAACAGACATAACAAATAAGTTTACACCCCCAAAGCCCTGAAGTCTTTTGGGAAAAAGGGTGGGGGAGAGGCTTCTCCTGTCTCCAACCCGTCCCTTCTCCCGCACCCCTGCTCTCAGCCCCGGCGCCGTCACTGCCTCCCAGTCCTCCTCATCCGCTGCGGCGCCACCACGGTCTCTCTGCGCAAAGACAAGCTCCCTCCATTTTACGGAAAATGGCTGCTGCTTATGACTCAGTGCCCCACAGCTTCTTCATCCGACTGTCTGACAGACATCGGGCCACTTCCGCTGCCCTGCCCTGCCCGGAGCCAGCGGCGCTGCGGCGAACACCCTGCGTGTCCCCATGCATCAACCAGCCTTCGGGCGAACCTTCAGTGACGTCGCTGTTCAGATCTGCTGCCCATTTATTCATCGGGTTGTTTGCTCTTCTACTGCGAGTTTAGATCTTGGATATTAACTGCGTGTTAGAGGCCTCCCCGGTGCCACAGGGTTACAGACTGCGCTAGCACCAGCCACAGCAGCACCAAGTTCGGTCCCCAGCCAGCCAGGGAGCAACCCCCAATACGCAGCAGACCTCTCCTGTTGCACACCCTGCTCCCCTCGGCAGTGCGTTGCCATCAGTCCTCCTGTTCTGCTCCCCCCACTGATTCTGGTGGATCCTCTCACGCCCCCCACCCCCAACACACCCAGATCTTATATGCAAAATAAGTCTTTAAAAAAAAAGATAAAAAGTAGGGCCTCCCCGGTGGCGCAGCGATTGAGCGCTGGGTTGCGAAGCTGCCCGCAGCCTCTGCCGGCGCCGGTTCGATCCCCGGCTGCTCCTGGCCATCGGAGGAGGGTCCCACATGGCGCGCAGACCTCTCCTGCCGCCCGCTGCTCCCCTCAGCAGTGTACTTCGGTCCTTCTGCCTGCTCTGCTCCCCGCTCTGGCTCTAGTGAATTCTCTCACCCTCCCGCGCTTCTGACTGTACCCAGTGCATGTATAAACAAAACAAACAAACAAACAAATAAATGAAAAAACATGCCTCTATTAAGAAAAAAAAAAAAATAAATAAAAAAATAATAAATAAATAAAAAATAAAAAAAAAAGATAAAAAGTAACTACATGTTAGTTATATCTTGTGTGGACACTTCTTCCCGTTCAGTGATGTGTCCTTTCAATCTTATATTTTCACAGTGTAAATGCTTTTTAACTAATCCCTATTGCTCACTTTTGCTTTTATTTCCTTTACCATGGGAGGCAAGTCTCTAAAAACATCCTTATTCTCGATGTAACCTAACACTGCCATTGTTTCCTTCAACACATTTTAACGTTCAGGCCTTACACCCGAACCTTTAACCCAGTCGGGGTTACCTTTTGTGTCTGCAGTGATCCAGCCTCATCCTACTCGTGGTTACCCAGCGCTCCCAGCCACACATGCCCGCAGCGGCTTTATCACGGAACAGGTGCAGGTATTTACGTGAATTTACTTCTGGGTTTTTGACTGTTTCACTGACTGATGTATCCATTTTTGTGCCAATTCCAGTTTCCACCACAGCTGCTTTATAGTGATTTGGAATTAAGTAGCTACACCTTTGTTTTTTTCCTGAGAAATAGCTTTGTTATTTGAGATCTCCTGTGGTTTCCTCCCACTTTCAATTGCTTTCTGTTCAACCTCGTTGATATATACCGTATGCTGGCATTTTGTCGGGGCTGTGTTAAATTTACCTCACTTACGCAGACTAGTCACTGTGGTGTCTACTCTCCTCACCCGTGGGCAAGGACGTCCTCGCGACTCCTCACGTCACCATCGAGACTCTCTAACATCCTACTCTCATATAGGCTCTTTACTTCCTTAAATGAGGCCAAGCGGATTTTTAATACTACAATAATCAGTGAAGTTACTTTCCCAATTTCCGTGCTTCTCACTTGTTTGTTTATACAAAAGCAAAAGCTGGGGCCTCCCCGGTGGCTCAAGGGGCTAAGCACAGCACTATGAAGCAATCTGTAGCCTCTGCAGCACGAGTTCGATCCCCGGCTGGCCAGGGAGAAGCCCACAGGGCCCAGCAGACCTCTCCTAACTCGCCCGCTACTCCCCTCAGCAGTGTACTTAGGTCAATCTGCCTGTTCTGTTGTTCCCCGCTCTGTCTCTGGAGAATCCTCTCACTCCCCACATCTCTGGCCTGTACCCCAATTCTTGTATGCATTAATAAATCAATCTAAAAAAAAAAAAAAAAAACACCAAAAACCAAAAGCTCATGTTGACTTTGGAAGCTGCCACTCTGCTATATTCATCAGCTCTTTCTCACAGCTTTTGGCAGATTCATCAGGGCTTTCCACACACAGGACCAGGCGGTGGCAACCATTTCATTGCTTTCCCAATGTGGATTCTGTTTTTGTCTGCTAGCTCTGGCCAAAACCTCCAATAGCAAACTTATTTTGCTTTTTTAAAAGATTTATGTATTTATGCTTACAAGAGCTGGGATACAGATCAGAGGCGCAGGGGATGAGAGGATTCACCAGAGACAGAGCGGGGAGCAGAACAGGCAGACTGACGAAATCCACTGCTGAGGGGAGCAGCGGGAGAGTCAGGAGAGGTCTGCTGCGCCATGTGGGTCACTCCCTGGCCAGGGATCAAACTCGTGCTGCAGAGGCTACAGACAGCTTCATAGGTTGCGTCTTAATCCTTGAGCCACCAGGGAGGCCCAAGAGCCAATTTAAACAGAAGCTGTGACACATCACCCAAAGCAGTGATAGTGAAGGCAAAGATAAACAGCTGGGACTACATCAAATTAAAGAGCTTCTGCACAGCAAAAGAGACAATAACAAAAACAAAGAGAAACCCCACCAACTGGGAGAACATTTTTGCACCCAACACTAATGATAAAGGACTGATCACAAAAATCTGCAAAGAGCTGATGAGAACAACAACAAAGAAAATAATCCAGTCAAAAAATGGGCAGAAGAGCTAAAAAGAAACTTCTCTGAAGAGGAAATGCAAATGGCCAACAGGCCTATGAAAAAATGTTCAACATCACTTGTCATCAGGGAATGCAAATCAAAACTACCATGAGATACCATCTCACACCAGTGAGAATGGCACATATTAAAAAAACTAGCAACAACCAATGCTGGCGAGGGTGTGGAGAAAAAGGAACTCTTCTGCACTGTTGGAGGGAGTGCAAACTGGTCCAACCACTGTGGAGAGCTGTGTGGAGATTTCTGGACCTACTAAACATAGAGCTTCCATAGGATCCAGCAATTCCACTCCTAGGTGTTTACCCAAAGGACACAGAAACATCAATTCCAAAGAGCACCTGCACCCCTATGTTTACAGCAGCACTGTTTACAGTAGCTAAGCTTTGGAAACAGCCCAAATGCCCAAAAATAGATGACTGGATCAAGAAGATGTGGTCCATATACACCATGGAATATTACTCAGCATTCAAAAAAGATAAACTCATGCAATTTGCAGCAACATGGATGGTGCTGGAAGGGATCATGCTCAGCGAAATAAGCCAGAAAGAAAAAGAAAAATACCGGATGGTCTCACTCATAGCAGGAATCTAGAAAACTTAAATAAGGGACCAGGAAAATGAATAACTATAAGAAAGTGAAAATCAAAATCAACAAAAAACTACGAACCAGAGACACTTTTAGGGGGGCGGGGGTGGGAGGGGAGGGATTGGGGTCAGAATGGGGGGGCTGCAATTGTATGGGGAATATAAAAATAAAATTTATTATTTAAAAAAAAAAAAAAAAAAAAAACAGAAGCTGTGACCCGGCCTTGTTCCTGATCTTAAGAAAAAAGTTTTTAGTTTTCCACTATTAAGTATTATATTGCCTTTATTTATGACACAGATTTATTATATTGAATTGGGTTCCCTTTATTCCCATCTGGTTCAGCATTTTTATCACTAACGGGTGCTGAATCTTATCAGTGCTTTCTCTATATCTACCGATAATACCATTTTCACCTTTACTTTCCATGATAAAAAAATTTTCACTCTACCATCACATACTCCTTGGACACATGTCCGTGGGCTCACCATCCCCTCCTGGAAAAAGACTTATCGCCCAGCCCACCCCCGTCTCACACCTATGGATCTCATAAGACATTTGCACTGCCATCACGGCAGCTACCCAATTCCCCACTCCGCAGAGGCACCACCAAAAGAATCACAGTGCCAGAAGGCCATGGTGCGTCCAGCCTCAAGCTGGCTGTGGTGCCCCAGTACAGCCTGGATACCAGGCAGTAATGAATGACTCTCCCGCCTATCCAACTCTCACTGATCACAACCCATCCAAGGAGGACCAAGAAATGAGTCCTCAACCATCTCCAGTGTGTCATCTCCCCCAGGACCCCAGGTGAAAATGACCGCCTTCAGTAAAATCGAGACCCATCAAGCCTTCAAACTGCTGGTCTATGGCGTCAGCCACGCCCCCTTCCTGGCGGGAAACAAGGCAGACCACCAGTATGAGGAGGTATCTCAGAAAAAGGACCAGCTTTCCACAGAAGGGGGTCACCAATAAAGGTCCACAGATGCCCTAAACAAAACCGCCTGATCTCAAAGCAGGATCATGGCCAGAGAGACAAGCTATTAGACAGCCTAAGACAAAGAAACTCCCCTGCATGGCTGCAAACCTGCAGAGTGGAGGCCCCAGTTAGGGGCGCCCACCACACACAGGGAGTGTAAGAATTGCTAAAACACCCGTAAGGGAGTCCAAAAGAGGCACAAGCTAAATCAAACACTCCAACTCAACAGCCTAAGAAACAACCTATGTAAATCTAGGGCGATCAGAACGTTGGGGCCGACATCAAGGCCGCTCTTCCTACCCAGGCACATGACCCACCCGCACAGGCGTGGTGAGGCCGACTAGAAGAGGTGCCACCTGCCCCCATCCCTGAGGAAGCAGCGGCAGCCACCACCCCTGACAGAGCTACAGCAGCCCCCAGAATGAGCCAACACCACTCTCGTCTCGGCCAGTTTACTCATCTGGAGTGCAGCAGCCCGCAGCAAGGGCAGGCGAGACCGGAGCTGCTAGAGAGACAGCGAGCGGTGAAGGGGGCCGCACCTGAGCCGCGAGGAGGGGAAGCACTTCAGAATTTGGATGCACAGGGTTCAGGGTACAGCACCCCAGGTCCATGGGCCTAAAATTAGGGCCCCTCCTTGTACTCAGCATTTCCAATGCGTTACCTGAGCAGATTCACCTGAGAGCTTGAAAAATGGCTAAAAAGCCACCCTGACGGCCTAGGAGTCAGTCTGGGCACTATCACCACCAAGGCCTGCGCTTGATCCCCGCGGGGAGCTGCCCACAGGGCGCAGCAGACCCTCCTGTCGCCCCGCCGCTCCCCTCAGCGTGGGTTCCAGTCAGCCCGCCCGCTCCGCTCCGCGCTCTCCGGTGAACCCTCTCACCTTCCCCCAGCCTGGCCCGCACCTAGTTCTTCTATGAAAAGCAACCAGAGCCCCGGGCAAGAGAAGTAAGAACGCTGGGCCCCCCAGAACCTTCCGCTCAGCACCCGCAGCGCCTCTCAGAACCCGGGTTTCCGAGCGAGCGCGCAGGAGCGCGGCCGGCGCCGCCGCCCGACACACAAGCCAGCGCCAGCCCCCGCCCCGCCCCGCCGCGCCCGGCCCGGCCCGGCCCGGCCCGGCCCGCCCGGCCCAGCCCGCGCCGCGCCGCGCCGCGCCTCGGCGGGCCGCGCACGCACCTGGCGATCTCCCCGCTCACTCGGGTCCGCATCTCGTCCTCCTCCACCGCGCTGGCCCAGTCCGCGCGCCGAGACCCGGGCCCGGGGCCCTCGGGGGTGGTGAAGCTGCCGCGGGCGGAGACACGCTCTGAGCCGCGAGCCCCGCCTCGGCGTCCCCTCCGCCCGCCCGCCCGCCCGGACCAGCCTCGCCCTGCGGCGCGCCCGCGCGGGTCCCGGCCCCGCCCGCCCGCCCGCCTTCCCGGCCGCGGGGGCCGGCCCCGCGGGCTGCGGCCGGGAGCGGCTGCCGGAACGCGAGCGCCGCGCCGCACACGCAGCCGCGGCCCGGGGAGCGCCGGCGCCCGGCGAGCCAGAGGGGCCCGGCCCGGCCCGGGAGGCGCAGGCCTCGGGGGGCCGCAGAGACCCGCCCCCCGCCCCCGGCCCCCGCGCCCGCCCCGGCCCCCGCCCCCGCGCCGAGGCCCGCGCGGCCCCCCGGCCGGCGCCCACCTGTCGGGCCTGGCGGGGCCCGCGGCGTCCCGGGGCGTCCCGCGCCGACCGTCCGCTCTGCGCTTCCGTCCGCGGCTCCATCGCGCGGGGGGCGGCGGGCTGCGCGGGAGACGCGGTCAGGGGGCCCGGCCCGCCCGCCCGCCCGGCCGCCCCCGCGCCCCCGCCCGCCCGGCCGCCCCCGCGCTCACCTGGCGTCGCCGTAGCCGGGCGGGCTGCGCGGGCGGGCGGCCATGGCGCGGGCGGCGGGCGGCGGGCGGCGGCGGCCGAGGCGTCTCGTCCCGCGCCGGCGCCGACGGGCTCTGCGCGCGCCCCGCCCCCAACCGCCTTTAAGCGGCCGCGGGCCCCGCCCCAGCGGCGGGCGGGCGAGACCATCGGCGCGCTCGGGGGGGGCGCCCGCGCGCCTGCCCGCGTCCCGCCGGCGAGCCGGGCCCGGGTCTCGGGCCGCCGGGAGACCTCGGTCCCCGACGCGGGGCCACGGAGGTGGGCGGGCGCGCCGGGCTGGCCGGGGAGACGCCCCAGAGCCGGGCGGCCCCCCCGCGCCGGTGGCCGGGCCCGCGCGGGTGGGGGAGGGGCGTTGGCGGGAGATTCGGGGGCGCGCGGCGCCGACGGGCGGTGGCCCCGGCTGGCCCCTCCCAGGAGGAGGCGGGGCGGCGGCGCCGATTGGCTCGGCCTGGCGAGGGGCGTCCGCGATTGGCCCAGGCCCAGCGGGGCGGTCCCCGCGCTGGCGGGAACCGCGGACCCGGAAGGCCCGCGCCCGTTTTGGGGTCTCTGCGCGCGCGGGCGGCGGGCGGCTCGGTCCTCGGCCTCCGCCGTCCCGACGCCAAGCGCGCCGCACCCCCGCGGCGCCAGGGCCGCCCCCAGCCCGCGCCCGGCCCCCGCGTCCCGCGGGCCCCACGGCCCCGGGCGCGCCCTGGGCGCGGAGGGAGGCGGGGCCCCACGCGGGGGGCGAGAACCCCGGGGTCCCCGCGCAAGCCGGGAGGTGCTGCTGGGGCGCCCCCCCGGCCCCCGCCCCCCTCCCGGCCCCGGGGAGGGCCGCGCCCCGGGCGGGGCCTCCCGGGTCCGAGGCCCAGGCCCTTCACCCGCCCGGCCCCCATCCCCCCCGCCGCTCGCGAGAGAAACGGGACAGCGCGAGGGCGGCGCCAGCGCGGCTTTATTAGACGCCGCGTCTCCTGCCGCGACAGCTTCGCTTTCCGAGCGGGCGCGACTCCACCCGCCGCCCGGCCACGCCGCTGGGCCGCTGCTCCCAGATCCCCGGGTTTGGAGCCGCCTGGCAAGCGCGCCGCCTGGGCCCCTCCTCCGCTTGGCACAGCCAGGTTTCAGGGTCCAGGGGCACAGGAAACTGTGTGGACCCACCTGTGCCCCCAGCATCGGGAAGACGCCCATCAGTGCCTCAGCCACCGGCCTGCAGGGCTGCGCCCCCGAGGAATGTCGCTGAGGCGCCCGGTATTCAGGGCAGTGCCTCCCGGAAAGGGAACACAAAGCCTGGCCCTGCCCTGAACTCGCGGGGCAGGGGAAGGCATAGGCAGGAGTGGCATAATATCCTTCCAGGGGAACGAGTAACCCCCAGAAGCGCAGCTGAAATAACAGCTGATCTGATCCCTCCCAAGAGGCCAGGACCTCCCAGGAGCAGCCCCCAGGCAGTCCCTGTGGGGAGGGGGCGCAGGACGTCGGAGCAGGCTGCGGTGCACCTAGGGCGGGTGTGCGCCACAAAATTAAGGCAAGTGGCCCAGGTCAGGACCATGGGTCTCCCGGGGGGCAGCTCAGGGGGCCGGAAATGCTCTGGAGGCAGATGCAGGGTACTCTGGGCCCAGGGCCCACCCACCCCCAAGCAAGGAGTGAGGGAGAGTGCGCAGGCCCCCACTTCCGCAAGAGCCCCCTTTTCCAGCTGGGCCTCCGCTGGAAGAACAGCCAGTGGGAGAAGAGCCCCGGCCCCGCTCAGTGCACAGCACACACATCCAGGATGCAGAAGCGGGCCCGGCAGGTGGGGCAGGGCACACGGCTGGCCAGCCAAGTGTCAGGGTGCTGCGGGTCCTGGCGGCTGGCGAACCACTTGCCCATGCAGGTGAGGCACCACATGGGGCGGCAGTAGCACTGCTGGCACTCGCCCTCGGCTGCCTCCTGGCACGTCTTCACCAGCTTCACAGCGGCGCGCGTCTGCATGCAGCCGATGCAGGCCTCCAGCTCCTGCGGGCAGACGCGGCCGAGTTCAGGCGCATCGACAAGTTTGCCACGGGGGCCCCAGCAGGTCTCCCAGCTCCTGCGGGAGACCCAGCGCTGGCCGCCCGCCCACCCCAGCACCCGGGCTGGCCATGGGAACCACACCTGACTGCTGGGGACGGAATAGGGCGGGTTGACCTCTACCAGGGAGGCAAAGGTATCCAGGAACAGGTCGCCTAGGCTCTGGCGGATGACAACGGCGGCCGCGCTGCGAATGGGCGCCCGGAGTTTCTCACACAGTTCACCATACTCCGCGGCGTTCAGCCTGCACAAGGGGGGCTGCTGGGCGCCGGGCCGGGACCCTTGCAGGGCCCTCGACCGAGACAGCCTGACTAGGACCCTGGGGTGGCGGCGGGGGAGGCTGAGGCTGCGCCCCAGGGGGTCCACCACTGCACACAAAGAACATTCCCACCCTGTCACCTGGGGAGGCCGACCCGAGGGAGGGGGGGATGCGAGAACTGCAGCCGAGCACAGAGCCCGGCCACAGCAGGGCCAGGGAGCACGACAGCCCGGCACGGCCGGACCTGGGCAGCCACCAAGCTCCTGTGCGAGCCAGTCCCTGCCGTGTTCCCCGAGAGATTGTAGAGGCAGCTCGGGCAGCCAAGAGGAAGAAGGTGGAGGCACAGAAACCTGGGAGGGCCCCCCCAGGGCAGGGCCACCACACGGGGTGCTGGGAGCTCGCGCCCACGCCCACCCGGCGTCCCTCTCGAGAACGGCAGGCAGGCCGGGGGTGTGGCGGGCATGCCTACCGGATGTCGAAGGCCTGCACAGCGGGGCGAGCGCCAGCCACGCGGATGGTGAGCAGCTGCACCGGCAGGTTGGAGTCGGGCGAAAGCTCGTGCTGCTGCGACGCGGTCACGGTCAGGTGCACGTCTTGCTGCTGGGCCACGTGCACGCGGTAGGCGGTCACCTTCATCACCCACGTGTCTGTCACGATCACCCGGGCCCCTGGGGCCCCCGTGGCAAACTTGTCGATGCGCCTGAACTCGGTGTTGATGGAGGCGGCGACGGCCCTCCAGCCCGACTGAGGGAGAGCGTACAGGGCCAGGGTTCGAGCCAGCGGGTGGCAGGCCCAGCGGTCCCGTGACCAGTAGTAGATGAGGGCACCAACAACAGAAGGCAGGGCCAGCGCCAGGAAGAGGAACAGCCGCCACGCTGCCGGGGCCTGGCCAGGCACGTAGAGATGCTTGTCCGAGGCTGCGAAGCACATGCCCACGTAGTAGCCTGCGGGGGACCAGAGAGCCTCAGCCGCAAGCCTCGCCCCGCCCCAGGCCCGGCCCCTCTGCCGTGGTCTGCTCCCAGGGCCGGTGCGGCCGTGGGACCCGGGACAGGTGCAGCGCCCACGGCGAGGCCAGGACGTAGTGAGCGCAGGGAAGCACCGAGGCCCAGAAAGCAAAGCCAAAGCAAGTACGGGGCGGGAGGCTCTGCAGGGCCAGCTGCCGGTCCCCACCCCAGAGCCAAGTCTCGGCCTCTGGCCCTGCCCCCCCAGCAGGCCCTCTCAGGACAGCGCCCCAGGAGGCCGACTAACCGTGGCGGGGCTGCCAGTCGGGTCTGAGCTCAGACACTGGGAAGTATCTGCCCCGACGCCGCTGCGCTTGAGGGCACTTGTTACCTTTCAAAGCCCCAGGTGCGCCCTCGGGCCCCTGAGGTCCAGCCCCGCAAGGGTGGGAGTGGCCGGGCCGCCAGGCGGGCCAGGGGCTCTCTCGGCTGGGCGAGTCCCGCCCTGCCCGGCTCCCTCCGCACCCTCCCCAAGGGGCAGCCCCGCTGCTCCTCGCGCCCCCACCCCGCCCTCCCTGCTCCCGTCCGCGGGGTGTCCCCGGCACCCCACGCGCCGGCCGGTCGCCGCGCACAGGCGAGGACCAGCTTCCCGGGTGCGGCGAGCGCCTCGCCCCCCAGGCCGCTGCGGGCCGGCCCCAGCCGCAGGGACCCCGCCGCCGGCGCGCCCGCCCGGCGTGGCCCCGGCAGCGGCCCGGGCCGGGGCTCACCGAGCGGCAGCAGCGCGTGGCACAGCAGCGTGGCGGCCGAGCGGCGCAGGTGGTAGGCCACGAAGGCGGCGTCCTCGCTGCCCAGCCAGCCGGACAGCAGGTTCTGCACCGTGAGCCCCGCCGAGTGGAACTCCGTGGGCGTGAACACGAAGCACACGGCGAACACCAGGTAGGCCAGCGTGAAGGTCACCTCGGGGCTGTCCATCGCGCCGCCGCCGGGCACCGCTCGGGGACGCCCGCCCGCAGCGGGCAGCAGGCCTGGGCGCCCCGCTCCTCCGGCCGCCGGCGCCGCCTCCGCGCGGGGCACCCTGGGAGCTGGAGTCCGCCGAGCGCGGGGCACCCCGGGAGCTGGAGTCCGCCGAGCGCGGGGCACCCTGGGAGCTGGAGTCCGCGCCCTGCCCCGCCCGCGCGGGGCGTCCTGGGAGGCTGGGTCACCGCCCGTCGAAGCATCCGGGGGTGGGGCCGCCGCGGGGCGTTCTGGGAGGCGGCGCCCCGCACCGGCCCGAGGTCGGGAGACGAGCGGCCCTCTGCAAGGGGGCGACTGCGCGTTCCCCTTTACAACTAAGGGGACTGCGGGCGGCCCAGGCCCAGGCCGCGGCCGTGCAGCGCAGCCCGGCGCGTCCGCCTGAGCCCGAGGCCCCGGTCCGTCCCCCGCCCCCAGCCCGGAAGCGGAATCGCCCGCGCGGAGCGTGGCCGCCGGCGCAGACTCCCATTGGCCGCCGTCCCTGGCGTCCCGCCCCCGCCGCGCGCTGATTGGCCGGACGCGCCAACCGTCAGTATTTGAATCGGCGGCGCCGGCTGGTGGCCCGGGAATCGGCGCCTCCGCCCGACTCTGCGCGGCCGGCAGGTGAGGGGCGCGCCCGGCCCGGCGCGTCCGAGGGCCCTTCCGCGGCAGCCCCGCCTCCCCCGGGCCACCCCCACGCCCCCGGGGCCCCCCCACCCCGCGGCCCCCGGGCCCTCCTACTCCCCCACCCCGCGGCCCCCGGGCCCCCGTACTCCCCCATCCCGCCGGGCCCCGCACCCCGCCTGGCCCGACCGGCCCCGGCCCTCCCCAGCCTCGCGCCGCGGCCCCGAGGCCCCCAGCGGGCTCCCGGGGCCCCCGGACCCGGACTGCGCCTGGGGCCGTGAGGGCCGGGGAGGGGGCGGCGGGCCGCGGCCAGAGCCCGCGCCTGAGGGGACCCCGCGTGCCCGTGGACGCCAGTCCCGGAGGGAAGCTCTGGGGTCCCGCAGCGCCCCACGCCCGGCCCGCGCCTCCGCGCCCCCGGGGCCTGCGCAGCTCCGAGGCCTGGGGCGACCCTCCTCCGCCCGGGCCTCTCCGGCCAGGGCCGGCCTGCGCTGGGCCCGCGGCTCCGGACCCGGAGGCCGGTCCCGCCCGCGCGCCCACGCCCGCCCTCTGCGCAGGATGAGCCTGCGCGGCCTCGGCGACGGCAGCGCCCGCGGGGACAGGGGCGGGGACCGCTGCGACCTCCTGCCCGCGCGCCCCGGAAGGCCGCCCGCCCTGCGCCCCTCGCAGAAGGAGAACCTGCCGCCCGCCGGCTCGGGCCGCGCCGCGAAGGTGAGCGCGGGGTCCCCGCCGGCCCTGCGGCCCTCGGCCTCCCGGACCGGCCTGCGGCGACCCGGCGGCGGTCCGCGCAGCCCGCTCAGCCGCCCGCCCGCCCTCCCTGCAGGTGACGTTCCAGACGCCCCTGCGGGACCCGCGGACGCACAGGATCGCGAGCCCCCAGCCGAGCGGCAGGCTGGAGGCCGCTCCGGACGCCAGCGCTGGAGGCGCAGACTCGGGCCCAGGCCCGGCGCGGAAGGAGAAGTAAGGCCCGCGCTTCCCGTTTGCTCGTGGGCTCGGCAGGAAAACGCTGCTTTGTCACGTCACCTCTGGTCGGGCTTCCTGGGGGGTGCCGTGAAGGCGGGGCCAGGTTCCTGCTGCCCCCCCCTCTTGAGCACGCAGCCTGGGTCTCTGTCTCACTGAGGCGGGAGCTCTCCTGAGGGCGGCTGCAGGGGTGGGCACTGTGCCTTTGTTTACAGTTTTGGATCCTGCTGGGGTCCCCGGTTGCAGGCCCGCCTGGCAGCAGCCACCCGGGCCCCACGGGACTGGGTAGAGCTGATTCTGGACAGTGGGGGTCCGCTCTGACTGGTCAGCACGCGGGCTATCCTGCAGCTCAGCTGCAAGGGCTGGGCCTGGGCCCGGTGGTCAGCTGAGCAGGCGCTGCCCCCTCCGGTTCAGCCTGGCGAGGAGGGCCCTGGTGACGGCTCTTGCATCCAGGTGAGGCCAGCTTAGCCTGTTGGGGACTCCGGACCCTCTGCACTCAGAGGGGGAAAGGGCCCCGCCGGCTCGTTCTGGTGTTTGAGGATGCAAACTGCTCACACCTCCTTTTCCTCGCGAGCAGGCTTTAAATGCCTGGGGAGAGGAGCGACAATGACATGTCACTAGCGTGTCCTTCATCCAGAGAGAGACGAGGAGGAAGAGGAGGCCGCCTTGGGTCGCCGCCCCGTGTCCCTGCAGAAGCTTCTCCAGCAGATTCTGATTTTCCAGACCTCGTCTCTCTGTCATCTGCCTCTCGTACTCTTTTTGAAATTCAGCAAAATAGAATTAGAGGTTCAAACTCCTGCCCAGAACAGAAGGGCCCAGCCTGCCTCGTGGCCCCAGAGATTCCCTCCCCTGTCCACTCCCCAGGGTGGCCTTGGGGTCCCGCCAGGCCTGCCATTATCTCCAGCAAAAGCTGGACCACAGGTCTACCCCTGATGGGGTGTCTGGCGGTGCCCATGACAGGCACAGACTGGCCTGCGGCCTATGCGCATGCCTGCCCGCCCCACCCTGGCAGCCCCAGCCCTGGTCTGTGGGGCTGCCTGTGGGAATCGGCCCTAGGAGTGGCATGGCCTGGCTTTCCTTTTCCTGCCGGTAGCTGTGTCTCTCGCGGCCAGGAGAATCACAGTAGAGGGGGCCTCCCCGGTGGCGCAGCTGGTTGAGCGCAGCGCTGTGAAGCTGTCCGCAGCCTCTGCGGTGCGGGTTCGATCCCCGGCCGGCCAGGGAGCTACCCACATGGCGCAGCAGACCTCTCCTATCTCCCCGCCGCTCCCCTCAGCAGTGCTTTCCGTCTACCTGCCTGTTGTGCTCCCCACTCTCTCTGGTCTCTCACCCTCCGGCGACTCTGCCGTGTACCGCAGCTCTTGTATAAATTAAGAGAATCTCAGTGGAGGGCAGGTGGCCTCCCACATGGTCACTGGTTCTGTCTCTAAACAGCCAACAGTTCGCCAAGGAAGTGGATGCCAAAGCAACCAATGGAATCCTTCAGCAACCAGCGGTGGCCGATGGTGATCTGCCTCTTGGGGATGTTAGACCAGACTCTGAAGACCGGCAGCTCTGTGGACCCCCTGCTGCCGCCGCCGACCCCTTAGGCTCTCCCCTGGCCCCAGGGGGTCTCGAAAGCCAAGTGACCTACCCAGGACCGACATCTGGCTGCCCTGGGCAGGCCCTGGCAGGAAGGGCCTGTCTCTCCACAGAGAAAAGCGTTGTCTCCACCTCTGACGCTTGTGAGCCGCCCACGCTGGTACCCCAAGAGGACTCTCCGGGAGCGGAAGGAGAAAGTGCACCGGGGGCGTCTGCTTTCTCTGCCGGGGCTGTGACGCTTGCTGGTGCTGGCCCTAAAGCCATCTCTGGAGAAAGGCCCCTGACCCGGCCACCTGGTGGGGTCCCAAGCAGCCTGGACGACACCGTGGCTGACTCTCTGGAGCCTGGACGGGCTGCGTCCCCAAGTCCTCAGGAGGGGGTGGACAGTGGTCAGGCGGTTGCGTGCCTGAGGAGCGGGCCGGTGCAGCTGGAGTTAGACCTTTCTGACGCAGCTGCCGTCCAGAGGCCGCCCCCACCAGGGGCCCTGCAGAAGTGGCCCAGCCTCCGGCCTCCCTCCACGAGGCCAGAGGCCAGGCCCGGGGAGCCCCAGAGTCCTGCACCCCCAGCCCAGGGCCCCAACCGCCTGGACAGCCTGAACTTGGACCCGTTTGGAGGTGGTGGAGACACCCAGCCCCCTGAGCACCCGACAAGCAGCCCAGCCAGGCCCACAGCCCCGGAGGACGTACCTCCCAGCCGGTGAGTGCAGGATTTGCCCGCCCTGTGGCGCCTGCCCAGTGAACGCTGTGCCCACGGTGAGTTTGGCAGCCACAGAAAGCGCCATCATGCGAGGTGGTTCCTCAGCTGCGCTGCCCACACTCACCCGCAGGCTGTCCTGGGCTTTACTTTCCCAGGGTTGTCCCCCGGGGCACCGCCGGCTGCCAGCTTCATTGGCCCAGGCTCCCTAGGCAGCCTGCGGGGCCTCACTGCTGACCCTTTTCAGGCAGGTGCCTGCAGCCCCCGAGCAAGGCGCTGTTGACGGGCAGACGCCAGCAGGGACCGCGGGCCTGAAGGGCGAGGTACGGGCGCCTGCGGGGGAGAAGGCCAAGGGGGGTGCAAGGACCGGCAGACGCTCCCGCCCCTTGTCTCTATGAGGGTGGTGCAGCGGCCGCCCGGGCCCTGGCTGCATGAGGTGCTGCTTTCTCCTCCAGGAGGGGACCCCTCCGTCTCCCCGCGCACAGACGCCCCCGCGCGGCCCGGGCCTGCAGTCGCAGCCCCCCTGTGACCTGAGCGAGGAGCACTTCCGGGACCCGGCCGAGGGTGTGTGTCCACGGCCCTCCCCTGCCCCCACCCCGCGGAGGTGACTCCGGTCCTAGAGCGCGTCCGCCTTGTCCAAGAGAGCAGACTCGCAAAGGGCCTCTGGACACGGGGCGCCTGCAGCGTGCAGAGGCCAGGCGGGAGTACCACCTCCGGCGCCAACAAGCTCAGCTCCGGGCGCCTTCGAGCCTGCGGACGGGTCTCCCAGGCGGGGCCTTGCATGCTCCTCGCTGCTTGGGCACTGGGGGGCGCTGGCCGGGGTAGAGCCCACGGGGCCCTGGAGGCCCATCAGGGGTATTCCTCCAGCGCGACCCCAACAGCTGGCTCGGGGCCGTCCCCAGCTGTGCGGACCCGCATCAGTCTCTGCAGCCCGAGGGCATGAGGCTTTCGGGTGTGGGGAGCTGCCACCGGCTGTGTCCAGATCGGCTGCGCCTGTTCTCACGACCCGCGTGCCGGCACTGCGGCCCCACACGGGCTGCTCCTGGCCGCGCCGGCTGCTGGGCCTGGGGCTCGTCCCCGGTGCGCGGACACGTCGGGGTGGCTTCGGGTTCGCTGCCTGTTTCTTTGCTGGGACGTCGGGAAGAGCTACCAGGGCGCTTGCCTCGGGGGAGAATTTTTCTCCCGCCGTCGCCCCTGAGGAGCGACCTCGCTGAGGGGCCCCTTGTGGGGCCGTGAGCTGGTTCTCAGGGCGCTGGGGGCCGGTCTCCGCGTCGGGGGCTGCCACTGGCACTCCAGTGTCTTCAGCGCCTCAAAGCAGGTCCTGGGGTGGGGGGTCACGCCTGCGTGCCACAAAGCCCATGGCGGCGTCTCCCTCCCAGCCCTAGGCACGGGGGCCGAGGTGGACTACCTGGAGCAGTTCGGGGCGTCCTCGGTAAGTGGCGCCTTCTTGGCTGCTTTGGGGGGAGGGGGCGGTGCCCAGGTGCGGCTGCCAGGCCTGTCTCCAGGGTCTTCCCTGCGGCTGGTCAGGCCACGTGCCGGGGCCCCCACCTGGGCCGCCCTGCTGACGCCTGTGCCTGCAGTTTAAGGCGTCAGCGCTGAGGAAGCACTCCTTGTACCTCAAGTTTGACCCGCTCCTGAAGGAAAGCCCTCAGCGGCCAGCGCCCCCGGGCCCCAGCAGGTAGGTGCTCTCAGTCTGGGGAGGGCGGCAGCACCGGGGCGCCCTTGGGCTGGGGGCGTGGAAGGGTTCCAGGTGGACTATGAGAGCCAACTCGGGAGGCCACAACCCTGGAGCAGGAGGCCATGTTGGCCGCTCCTGCCTCCCTCCAGAGCCTTCTCCCTGGCGGGTCGGAGACCACCGGGGCTGACCCTGCCCCGAAGCAAACAGCCCATGTGCTCTGCTCTCAGTGCCCCTGGCTCAGACGCACCCACCCCAGGAAGCCCGCTTGCCACACTGGTGGACCTGGACTTCGGATCCCCAGCAGCCCTTGTGAGTGCTTCATGCCAGGATGGCGGGGGCGGTGGGGGGTCAGGCCTGTACCGGGGGGACCTGGAGGCCCGGCTGGTCTTCGCCCTCAGGTGCCGGTTCTGCCGCCCCCGTGTGCCCTCGGGCCCATCGTGGACCTGCTGCAGTACAGCCAGAAGGACCTGGACGCTGCGGTGAGCATCCCGCACCCACAGGGGCACCAGGTGCTGGGTGGGGAGGGCGCCACCGGCTCAGCGGTGTGTCTGTGCAGGTAGAAGCTGCGCGCAGGGAGAGCCTCCTGCTGAAGAGCCGGTGCGAGGAGCTACAGGCGAGGAACCTGGAGATGGGGTGAGCGCTGGCCGCACCCCCTTCCTACCCCCTTACCCTCCGTCCTGGCGGGCGTGCCCAGGGCTCAGACAGGCACCTGCTCTTCCCACAGGAAGATCATGGAAGGCTTCGAGGGTATCGTGTACCAGGCCGTGGGTGAGTGCAGGCACCCTGCCCTCAGCAGGCTCCCCTCCTCCCTTGCTGCCCCTCAGGGCCCAGCTGGAATCGGGCAGGCATTTTCTTGTGGCAGCTGCTGCTCTACGCCAGGTAGCCAGATACTGGGCTGCTGCTAGGGCCAAGCTGGGCGCTGCTTGAGCAGCCTGATCCCCAGGGCTGTGTCCAGGTGGGCACAGGCTGTAGAGGCGCGCATGCCGGGGCCAGGCTTCTCCCGCTGACGGCCCTAGGTTCATTCTGGGAGGGCATGGCGGGTACCTGCCCACAGCCTCTGAGGGGGGCAGGCTCCCACCTCCTGCTAGGCGGTGGGTGGTGCTGGGCACCCCACCAACCCAGAGCCCTCATTTTCTTGCACTGAAGAGGAGGCTCAGAAACAGAAGGAACATTCCAAAGCCGAGATCCAGAAGGTTCTCAAAGAGAAAGAACAATTGGCCGCAGACCTGAGCTCCATGGAGAAGTCCTTCTCTGAGCTGTTCAAGCGGTTTGAGAAGCAAAAGGAGGCCATCGAAGGCTACCGCACGGTGGGGGTCCGGGGCTGGAAGCTGACATCCAGGCCTGGCCATTGTACCCGACCCAGGCTGAGAGCCCAGCTGGGCCACGGTACCCGCGGGTGGGGCAGGGCTCCTGACTGGTGGCGTCCTGGCTGCAGGACAACCCCCACCCACCTGGTGCTGGGGTCAGGGGTGGGGGTAGTTGCGGGGCCTCCTGGGGAAGAGCCGGCTGAACTTGAAGGTGTGGCTTGGTATTGGGGGAGGAGGCCTCAAGCCCTCAGACCCGGGGGGGGGGGGGCGCCCACCCTGGCCCTGAGCACGAGGCCCTGGAGGCCTTCGGCAGCTCCCGGTGGGAGTGCCTTGTGGGGCAGGAAGCCGGGCACAGGTGAGGGCACCTAGAAACAGGCCCTGGGGCTACGGAGTCGACAGGCAGGCCGGCGGGATGCCGGGCAGCTGGCTCCCTATCTGGGGCCGCCGGGCCTGGCTTCCTCACACAGGCTCCTTTTCCACCTCACCCGTGTCAGGCATGCGCGCTCCTGGCCACAAAAGCGTCACTGCAACAGGCCTGCAGGAAGGACACCAGGGCCGCAGGGTCATGCAGTGGTGGGCTCACCCAGCAGGGGGTGCTGGGCAGCAGGGAGGCGGGGAGCAGTGGGGGACAGAAAGGGAAAGCCCAGGGGCCAGCAGGCTGTAGGGCGGCAGACTGGCTCCAGGGAGGAGGCACCGCCCGGGCCCGAGGGAAGCGGGGGCGGCCGGGCAGAGGCTGGGACATGACACCGGCAGCCAACCAGGGAAGGGGCTGCATGTGAACGCAAGCAGGCGCTGCCCACGGGCAGGGGGCCAGGGCTGCTCTGCGCCTTGGGAAGAGGCCGCCTTGCGGAGCCGGGGGCACCAGGCGAGGTCAGCGTCCCTCGTGTCCCAAAGAATGAAGCCTCGCTGAAGAAGTGCGTGGAGGACTCCATCGCCCGCATCCAGGAGGAGGGCCAGCGGTACCGGGCGCTGAAGGCCCACGCCGAGGAGAAGCTCAGGCTGTGAGTGCACTGGGAGGGGCCCGGGGAGGGCCTGGCAGGGCCTGGCCGCCGGGCTCAGCCCACCTGCCGCTTCCCCAGGGCCAACGAGGAGATCGCCCAGGTGCGCAGCAAGGCCCACGCGGAGGCCTCCGCCTTCCAGGCCAGCCTGCGGAGGGAGCAGATGCGCGTCCACTCGCTGGAGAAGACCGTGGAGCAGAAGGTGGGCGGGGTCCAGGCCTGCCCCGAGGGGGGGGGCAGCACCTCAGGCAGCACAAGCAACGCCCCGACTCTCCCCAGACGAAGGAGAACGAGGAGCTGACCAGGATCTGCGACGATCTCATTTCCAAGATGGAGAGGATCTGAGGGCTCCCTCCCCGGAGCGCGCCCCGCGTCTGTCTTTGCCAGGAGGCCCCGGTCTGGCTTCCCCCAACCTCGCCGGCTTTCACGCCGGCCTCACTGGTCCGCCTTAGAGGACGACTCAATAAAGTCCCTGATCGCAGCACTGAAGCCCTCGCCCCTCTTCCCACGGAGGGTGGCCTGGCCGGGGCCTTGGGGTGAGCAGCACCCAGACGGCCACCGAGAGGCCTCAAGAGCAAGACGGGCACCCGGAAGGCGTCCCCACAACTCCCTGCGGCCCTTCTGAGCTGGGCATGGACCCCCGGCCCCTCCCGCCCCAGACTTGCTGTTCCCCATTCGCCGCTGGGCAGCAGGCTCTCGAGGCCCTCACTGCAGAGACAGAGGCCCTGGGTGGGGCCTTTCCTGGGCGGTGGATTCCAGGGGCCTCCAAGCCCTGCTCCCCCCTCACTGCCCCGGGCTGTGGCCAGGAGGCTGCCGCCAGGAGTCGCTACCCACAGGGAACAGCCTGACTGGCCAGAGGCTGCTCACCTCTGTGGTCCAGTGGCCATTTGGGGTACAATACCCCGTGGGTGGAGGTCAGGGCCCTCACCTGCCCCTACTCCATGTGGTCTAGGGGACCGGCAACACCCCAGAATCACTAGGGCCACCTCTCGGGACCATCCCTGTCACCCCAACCTAAAGCAGGTGTGGCTGGAGGCCAGGTCGTGGGAGGGAGGCGCCTCCCCAGCAGGAGCCAGTGCTGCCTCGGGGACTCCCTGCTGCCTTGCCTGCCCCGGGGCCACCCAGAGGTGGGACCCACCTTGGTGGGTGAGGGGCTGGCTGAGGCCTGCAGCCTCTGGCTCTCCGGCGTCCCAGGCTCCTGCCCTGCAGTCTCTCCTCTCCCTCCTGGCCAGAGGCAGGGGCCACACTGGGGGGGTCTGGGGGCGTCCTCACCCCACTCACCGGCAGCCTGTTCTCAGCCCCTCCCAGGCTGCTGGCCCCTAGGGGCCTCCCTGGGCAGGCCATGCCAGGCGGCTGCTGTGTCAGGGCACCCAGCCTCGTCAGGGCCGCACTGAGGACACAGGCCGCTGGGCAGCATCCCGGGCCGGGAGCCTCTGGGACAAAGGGGCCTTGTGTGCTGAATGGATGTTTATCCTGGAGCCCAGGCTGACCGGGGCCAGGAGGCCAGGCGGGGGCCCTGGCGCTGGCCGTCCACAGTAAACACGGCCCGGCTGGCACACGGCGTCTGCACTTCCACCCCCTGTGTCCTGCGCGTGGGCACGGCCCGGGCCCCGCCAGGGGAGGGGCGTGGGGGCAGGAGCTGCCCACAGGAAGGGGGCAGCCTGGGCCAGGGTAGCCGCCTCAGCGGGCCCCGCCTTCCCGGGGCGCAGGGGCGGTTGTCACAGAGCCCCTCCCCACAGGGTGGTGAGCCTGGACCAAGCTCCCCGCTGCTGGGGACCAAATGTGTCCCCCAGATCCGTGCGTTGAAGCCCTCCCACACATGGGGGGGCCGGTGGGTGAGGCCGTGGGCCTTGGCGGGAGCAGGATGCCTGTTCTCCTGGCCCTTGGGGGGCGGCCGGCGGCTCCCGCTCTGCCCTTGCAGCACCTCCAGGTCCCCCAGCCGCAAGGCTGGGTTCCAGGGGAAAGGGATGCAGGGAGCTGATGGCCAGAGACCCCTGCTGCGCCCGCCCCAGGCCCTGGCGCCCCCACCATGTTCTGCCCCATCCTGGTCAGGTGCCCCTGCCCTCAGCTGCCTCCGTGCAGGCTGAACCCCAAACTCCCAGGGTCCAAATGAAGGACACCTGTGTGGCCCCGGGCTGAGCCAGGCGAGGCTCTGAGCGCCCCCCGGGGCCGCCCCGCGGGAAGCCGGGCTGGGGGCCCGCAGGCTCTTGTGGGGGACGTGGCCCCGGTTCTCCCCGCGGCAGAGCCGGTCGCCCGCTCGGGCTCCCTGACGCTCGCCGAGGGAGCCGGGGGGCCGGCAGGGGGCGCCGTCGAGCTGGCCCGGCCTCCGCGGGCTCAGCCCTCACTCCTCGCGGCGTCCAGGCGCGTCCAGGCCCCGCCGTGGCCCACTGGGGACCGGCGGGGCTCGGGGACGCGCGGGCCCCTCAGCGAGACCCCGGGCCGACGCCGCCGCGGGGGGGCTGGGACGGGGTGCGCGGGGGAGTGTAGGGGTGGGAGGGGGTGCCCACGGCACGCCCCGCGCCGCCCCTCGGGCGCCCCCTGGGCGGGCAGGAGGCGCCCAGGAGGACTCCTCGGCTGGTGCCGGGGGCCGCGCACCCAGGGTCCCTGCTGGTGCCCGCCTGCCCCCGCGGCCCCTCCGGGGCTGGGCCCTGCGATCTCAGCGCGGGTCGCCGTGCCACCCTCGGCCTTCCACCGGGCTCAGCCCAAGCCCACCTCGGGCGGGGTGCGCCTGGGAGGACTGTCCAGCGGCAGCTGTGGCCAGACGGGCCTGGGGCGTCTCTTGCACAAGAGCCTGCCTGGGAAGGCCGCGAGGACTCAGAAACACATGGCTGGCGCCCAGAGCCCTGCGCGCGGCCCGCAGGCTGCCCACCCCAGAGCCGCCGCCGGGGCGGGGCCCAGACCGCAGGGACCCGCTGTCCAGCCTCGGGCCCAGTGTCCAGCACACGGCGCTCCCTGCTCACGCAGCTGGCAGGGCACTCGGGTCCAGGGGGCCCAGCTACACCGCGGCATCAGCCAGACCTGGCCCCGAAGAGCTTGTGGCACCAGCTCCCAGCGGCCCAGGGCTGGGCCCGGCCTCCTGCAGGGCAGCGGGCCTGGACCTCCAGACACCCTGCTGCCCCGGGGCCACGCAGGCCAGGCCTGGGGCCATCCTCCCGGGAGAGGTCCCCACGCCTGCCCGGCAGGCCCGCCCCCGGGGCGGCTCTGTGCGCCGGGGAGGCCGCCCCAGCCCGTGGCTGCCGGGCCGGGCAGACGCCCAGACCGGCCCGCACCGACGTGCCTGGGACCCGCCCCAGCTCCCTGCCAGGGCGTGATCTCACCGGCACCGGCGCACCCACCCACCCGCCCCCCGGCGGCCTGGCCTGCCCGAGGCCCTGCGGGTGCCCCCTCCCACCCGCCCTGGCTTCCAGAGCACCCAGAGGCTCCCCAGCTGCGTCCTCTCCAACGGCCCCAGCGGCCCGGAGGGGTGTTGGGGCGCAAGCAGGGGCGCGGCGGGCTGGGGCAACACAGGGTGTGGGCGGAGGTGGTGGCACCGCGGCTCTGCTGCCTCTGGCCAGGACCCCGAGGGAGCAGGGGCCGCCCAGCAAAGCCAGCAGGCCCCCAGCACAACCAGTGGGGGGCGGCCGGGCTCTCCCGCCGGCCTCTGGGAACCCCCCCCCACCATGCTCGGAAGCAGGAATGTGCTTTGCCCCAGTCCAGACTTGCCTGGCCCCGGGCGCCCCCAGCCCAGCCCAGCGCCTCCCGGCCTATGTCCCAAGGAGCGGCCGGCCCGGAGCTGGGGGGGGGGAGCGGGGGGCCTCCGGGGGGGGGACCCAGGGCTGCGGCTTTGCACCCCTCCCTCCAGCCGGGCTCTGGGGCCCACCTTCTCCGAAGCGCCCTGACCGCGCCTGCGGGACGTCGGCCCCGATGGCCATGGCGGTGGGGGGAGGGGGGCCCGCGCCTGCTCAGGAGTGGCGCCTGCGGCCAGGCAGCGCCCCCGCCCGGGAGAGGCCGCAGTGGGTGCGCTGCAGTGGTGGCACTCCCGAGTGGGCACCCGGGCTGGGGGCTCCCGGGCCCAGAGAAGCTGCAGGCCTGGGGAGAGGCCGGGGCAGGAGAGCGGCCGCAGGACGCGGCTCTGGCCTGGGTCACAGGGACCCTGGGTCTAGGGGTGAGGGGGGAACCAGGGCAGCAGCCCCAGGGAGGCAGGGGGGGCCGCGGCCCAAAGTCCAGGTGGGAGAGCTGCCCCCTGCGGCGTCCTGGCTGACGACCCGGCGCCCCGGACATGTCCCCGCGGGTATGCCCAGCCCTGAGTGGGGGAGGCAGGCGAGGGCGGCAGCCTGCCCTGGGGGTCTGCGCCAGGTCCTCGGCCGAGCAGGGAGGCCGCGCGGGCCCTGGGGCTCCTCGACAGGGCCCCGGGCGAGCCTCAGTGGCAACGCTGGCTGTCTGGGAAGGGGCCACCGAGCCCAGCAGACGCCCTCCGGGCCCTTCCCGCTCCTGCCCGGGCCCCTCCTTGGGGGCCAGGACAACCCCTGGGCTTCACAGGTGGGGGCTCTGCTCTCGCCATGGCCACCCAGAGAGGCCTCCCGGGGGTGGCGAGGGAGGCCATGAGGGCGGAGGCCAAGCCGGGAGGGGCGGCGGCCCTGGCCCAGGCCAGGAGGCTTGGTGGGGCTGCGGCCAGGACCCCGGCGTGGCCGGGAGCAGCGGGTGCGCTTGGGCGGCGCTCGGAGGCGGGTGGGCTGGGGCCTGACACTGGGCTCTCCTCGCCCTGCCCGCTCACTGCTGACCTGGGAGTGGCGATCATGGTCATGATTTCCATTTTACAGATGGGGAAACTGAGGCTTGGGCCTGCTGGCTTGCACGGCCCGAAGCGCAGGTTGGTGTCCTGACCGGGGAGCCCTCCCGCCGGGAGCCCGGGGGGCTGCAGGGAGGCTCAACTGGCACAGGGCGAGGGCCTGGCTGGCCCCGACAGGATCCACTGGGGGATCTGTGCGTCCGCGGGGGGCAGGGCTGACTCTGCCCGTCCAAGGAAGGGGGGCGGGCACCCGTGGGGAGCAGGGCCAGGGGCGGGCACTGCCTGCGCGGGCACACAGGGGCAGTGGGGGAGGTCGCTGGGCGGCCACTGCCGGGCCTCGGAAGTCTGCAGCTAATAAGATTTGCCCGCTTTGCCTTCCTGGCGGCCGACATCTGCCCGACCCCCTCCTGCGCCCCAGGCCAAGCCAGCGGGCGGTGCCCAGTGCACTGTGCTGGCGGGTGGGCGGCCCTGCTGCTGCTGGCCTGGGGGGTGCCCGCAGTGGGAGCCCCACTGGGGCTGTGGAGCAGCGCCCCGCTGGAAGGTGGGCACAGCAGAGCGGAGGTGGGCACAGAGGTGTCGGGCTCGCTCTTGGGGCGGCCCCCACGGCCCCCAGCTTTGCCACAGCCGGCACCTCTAGAGTGACCCAGCCTGACTGGGTGACCTCGAGGGGCCTGGAGGGTGGACAGGCCTGGCTGGGCTGGCAGCCGCAGCCCAGGGGTGAGGGCAGACCATGGAGTTTCCTTCTGCCTGGCACCTGCCTGCTCCCCAGCCGGGCGGCCCTGACCAGCGGCTGAGG